AAAAAAACATGTGGACAAAAAAAAAAAAGAAAAAAAAGGAGTGGAGAAAAATGAAACACACGTATTCAAGGAATACGTTTTCTGTACAAAATGTATAGAAAACGTATTCTTTGAATACGTTTTTTCAGAATTTTTTTCAAAAGAAAACGTATTTAATGAATACGTTTTACAATTAAAAAAATGGTAAAACATATTCATTGAATACGAGCTTTTTATTATGGTCCATTCTCATTTGTTTGTGTATTTTTTTTTCCACAACTTAACTTTTTTATAATTTTATGGTAAAAAATTCCCCATTTTTTGGCATTAACAGTTTTTACATTAATTAAACGTAATTATATTTTTTACCAATTCTATCATATAACAATTAGTAATAATGTTAACTAATTATAAATTCAAATTAAAAAATTTATAAAGTTACCCACTTATAATAATATTCTTTCTTCAAGTAATGTGTCTTCAGATGAATATTACTTTTTTTTTTTTTTTTTTTTATCTCACTAATCGATCTTTTTAGATATTCAACTGTTTTTTCCAATATTCTCAAAACCGGACCGGTCATCGAACCGGTAAAGCTACTGGTTCAATGGTTCACTGGTCGGACCAGTGGTCGAACCGGTTCAACTAATATATAATTTATTTATTTATTTATTTTATATGTATAATATATAATTATATATGTATTTATCATTCATTTTATAGCATATAATGACATTTTTCTATATAAGAGTTGATAAATCAATATTTCAAGTGTAGACAATCAAATTTTGAGCCAAAAAAAAGGCGACAAGTGTCAAATTTCATGTCATAATCAATTTAATAATTTTCTATTTTATTTGGGAAATTAATCAAATTTAATTCCTAAATTAAAATAGTTAATTAATTGATTATTTAATATATATTGTTGACCAATTAAAGAATGCCACATATATATTTTGAAGGGCAATTAAAGAATGCCACATGTCATTTTCTTGGAGAGTAAAATAAATATTTATTTATTTTAATAATTATTAAAGAGATAAATAAATGGAAATTCATTGACCAATCAGATTGAAGTCTTCTTTTCCAAGACTCTCTCTCCTAATTACCTCTTTAAATAATTATTAAGAGATAAATATTAGAAATTATGGACCAATCAAATTGAAGTCTTCATTTTCAAGATTCTCTCTCACAACACCTATAAATAGGGACTCTCCCTAAGGTGAAAAATCATAATTCACATTCAAGTTTCAAGTTCAAGAGCTCTAAAGAATTCTCTCAACGAAATTCAAGTGTTCTTGAAGATCCAAAGGCGTTCTTGAAGATCCGAAGGAAGATTCAAGTGCGTTCAAGCCCAAAACCGACGTTCAATCCGGAATCAAGCTGCCAAGCCTCCGAATTACGTTATTAAAGTCTTGAAGATCCAAAGACATTCTTGAAGATTCGAAGGAAGATTTAAACACGTTCAAGCCCAAAACCGACGTTCAATCTGGAAACAAGCTGCCAAGCCTCCGAATTGCGTTATTAAAGTTCAAGTGTTTTGAAGATTCAAAGGCGTTCTTGAAGACCCGAAGGAAGATTCAAGTGCGTTCAAGCCCAAAACCGACGTTCAATCCGGAAACAAGTTGTCAAGCCTCCGAATTGCGTTTTATTAAAGTTCAAGTGTTTTGAAGATTCAAATGCGTTCTTGAAGACCCGAAGGAAGATTCAAGTGCGTTCAAGCCCAAAACCTGTTAGAGGTATGCTGTAAAAGCTCCTATTTACAGATTCTATCTGTAATACCCCGTTTGATTATGGATTATTTGAGATTAATTATTTTTGCATTATTGTTATTATTTATACTTAATGTCTAATTGCTTAATTGTTTATTGATGTTATTATTATTATTATTATTATTATTATTATTATTATTATTATTATTATTATTATTATTATTATTATCATTATTATTATTATTATTATTGTTATTATTATTATTATGCTAATTGCCTAAATGTTACTAAATGTCTAAATGCGTGTTACTATTATTAAATAAATATTATTATTATAT